TGGTTTTTTCAGAACCTCTGGGTGGAGGATATTTGAACACTTTCAGAGTATCTTCATTTTACAGTGTTTAGGCCGAGAAAATAATACGAATTAATTTTTTTCTTTTTATGAATTACCTGTCGTAATCAGACTTCAAAAGTTATTTGGTGCCTAATTTTTTTTTTAATATGACAGCCACTCCAGCCTCTTTTGCAGTACAAAACAGGGGGTGGCATTTCCCTTGCATTTGGGAGTTTTGGAGCTGTCTCACTTTCCTGTTTCTATGGTCAAGGGAGGCAGCAGCAAAACCTTTGCTGTTTGGCCTTGGGGCACCTGTGAGGCTTCATGTGAAGAGGAGAAAGGTGAAAAGGGGCTGATGCCTTTTGGAAAATTGGAGGTTCAGAACATCTTAGATCAGTGTCACCATGTGGGGTGTGTGTGTGCTTTAGGGCATCTGGGGAGAATTGTGCTTTGGTAGGTTTTGCCTTAGTGACATCACTATAGTGATATTGTGACAGGGGCTGGTGGGTAAATTGCTGTCAGCATTTTGAGTTTGTGAGGCTCTGGACTTATAGTATTAGTAGAGGTAATTTTTAATCTTGGCAAAATTTTCAAAAAAATGTTCCCTCTCTGGAAGGAAGGGAAGGATGTTTTAGTGACCATGGGCAGAGGTGTCAGCAGCACCTTCTGGTTGTTCTGGCCAGAGTCCCTGGGGCAGGCTGACGTAGGACACATCGAGCGATGGCAAAGCAGTTTCCCATCACCCAATCCTATCAATAAATGCAATTTCCCTGGAGGGTGGGGGTGTGTGAAGCTCAATTGCTGCAGACAAGGGCTGGTTCTGGTTGTGTGCATCACACGGCCAAGCAGCAGCAAGGTTACAGGCTGGAGATATTTCCCCTCCCAGTGGAGGCTCTGTTCCTTCTGATGCTCTTCCTTATCCACAAGGCCTGTGTACTTATCATGATGGAGCACCTGTGGTGGACAGTGGTTATACTGCCTCTGTCAGTAACCCTCATTTGCATCTCATACCCAAATCTGTCCTCTTTTTCCTCTGTATCTGTCACATTTTTCCCACACTCCTGTGCTTTTGAGGTCAAACACAGCTGTGCAATAAGGCTTCTCCCTGTAGGAAGGCATTGCCATAAGGTTTGGGAAGTGGCATAAGCTCCATCAGTATAACTGTGCTTATGCTGATTTAAAGCATCTACCTCAGAGCTTTTATTAGCATAAGCCTCTTAATAAAGAGGGGAAAAAATTGTAAGAACTACACCAATGATGTAACTAGACACATTTAGTAGACACATTTACTTTAAAATTAGTTTGGTTTCCCAGAGTATGTGATTTCAGTTAAATCTTCCAAAGTATGTGAAGACACTTCTATTTATGTTCCATTCATACTAATTTTAATTTGTATTAAGTCCATCAGGATCAAGTTTGAGCCAAGTTGGATGCAGTGTTACTGCTTACACTGGTTTTGATGGATTAGAAGCAATAGAGCTAAATCTTTCCAGTCCCTTGTGAGTCCCTTGCAGTTTCACTGACAAAAAGATGGTCAGTTTTTTTAAACTACATTTATCAAAACAGCCTGCAGGCACACTTTCATCAATGTGACTATGTCCACTTATTACTCAAATGGTCTTAAAGCTGGAATAATCATGCTTCAAAGTGGGCTGCTCTGGTTTAATTTAGCCTAATTTGTTTTGATTTAGATGGGCAACACTGGCTGGGTAGACAAGACCTAAAAGAGCACCCTGCAGGTAGGTACTGCCATTACTCAGGTCCTGCCAGGAATCTTCCACACAGAAATCCCATGGCTGGTGTCTCTGATAGCTCTCACTTTCTGGTTCCCAGGGCCTTGTGCTCCTTGTGCTGGGCATATCACAGGGACATTGCACACCTGGTGTCACTCAAACACCCCTTTGGCAGGAAAGATAGCAGGGAAGAAAGGGCAGAGGGGAGGCTCTGCCATGCTTAAAATCTGCTCCCAAACTGCACCAGGGACACCAGTGTTACATGGCCTCTGGGGCCACCCGGGAACTTCCATGTCCCTGTGTCACCTGGACCTCAGCATGCTGGCACTCTGGGGACTCCAGCCCTTGGAGCATGTCTGAAGAAAGCTGGAAGCAGGTGCCTTCCTCTCACCAGTGCTTAGAGACTAACCAGCAATCAGCCTGGGAGCTTGCTGGCCACTGCTGGGAGGCAGGTACTGGTAATTTAACCTCATGCTTTGGAAGGGCAATCCAGGTCTGGCTTTGCCCATCAGGAAACTGAATCTGTGTCACAGTGAGATGCTGCAGGTGTCAGCCCCACCAGAGCAGTGGGCTGGGCTACCCACAGGAATGGGCCATCCTCAAGCACCAACACCAAATGTGCTGTGCCTGGGGAGGGGGACGTGATGGTGCAGAGAGCTGAGCTTTCACTGTGCTTTAGCAGTTGACAAAAGCCACAGACATGATAATGTGTGTAGCAGTGGGCTTTTCTTCTCTCAGAAACATCCATGTACATCCTTATTTATTTCATTCAAATGGAAAAAATGGTTGCACACGTAGAAATACTTTACCCACACAAACCGGGGGTGAAGGCTCTTCATCAAAAGAAAGAATACAGAAAATGCCATAGAGACATCTTTAAATGCATGGATTTTATTTTAGTGGCCTTTTCTTTCTCTTCTACCTAATATCCCTCTCCTCCCATAAGACATCTCAGGACTTGTCAGATTGATCATCTTCATTTTGTGCTTGGGAACCCTTGGTCCTTCAGGTCTTACTTGCTGACTTAAAGCTCAGTGCTGATAAATCTTTAGCAGAGGAAGTTTTTCTCCCAGGTGTTTCTCAACCACATGAGTTATGGTAAGGTGCACAAGACAAACAACACAAAAAACACTGAGCTTAACAGAACTTGGCTGTTTCACACCTGACAAAATCTTACTGCCAGAATACCCAGTGACATTATCTCACTAGTTCTCCCTGTCTCCAGAGTATTCCAGGGAAAGAAAACGAATAGGCACACACTGAACTAAGGTACTCCAACCCAATCTATTTTTCATTGACAGGTCACTTTTAATCTCCTCCAGTGGTGGAAATTCCTGTTCTTTTCTTGTATTTATTTTCAGTTTTGTTCTTGCCACATTTCTTTTACATTTTTATTCCTTCAACATGTTCTGTTTTGTTTGTACTGTTGACAGCAGAAGAGATTTAAAAATGCCCAGACTTTGAAGCAAGTCATCTACAGATGAAATTGTTCCTAAGGGTACCTAGCAGCTGGAGGGACAAGTGGCATAAATGCAGATTTAATACCACTGGCTGAAGGTAATTGTAAATAAAAGTACTCTCTGTGAAAAGTATTGGACAGGTTTCCAGATGAGTAATATTTCAAAGAAGCTGTGTGCCCTGGAAACATGGCTAGCAGCCTGTGATGAGCTATAAATGTGTGGGGCAAGACCTTTCCCTATACTATAGGACTAGCTCATCCCAGCTTGACCAGGAATGCCCAAGATGAGGAGTAGCAGAGATTCTGGCAGTTTTCCTGGGCAGAAGGGGTCAGTGAGGACAGCAGGTGATTATGTTACCAGATATTAACAGTCCAGCCACTGGTGACAAAGAAACTCTGGACACAACAAGGGGAATCTTCAACAGGCCACCTGGGTTAGGAGTTACATAAAGAACCTGTGAGTGGAAGCTGGGAGGATTGAGCACAGGAATTGTCCTGCCTTACCTACTCTGGTCTTGCACCTTTTCCCGGTCATTCCCTATTGGCCATCCTTTAGGACACGATGACTTGGGTAACAGTCAGACCAGACCTGAGCTCTGAGCCTGCTCAGGGAGGCAGGAAGCCAGCCAGCTTGGCCCCCACTGCAGGCTGGCAGGATTTCTGAGGTTGCTGAGGAGGAGGCCATGCCTTAGACTGGGCTCAAAAAAGCAATGCCTGCCAGCTCTGCTCTGCTGGCAACTTTGCTTCCCTTTTGGAAGTGGTGGACTTTGTGGGCTTAGTCACCAGAGCCAGGCAGCCTCATATCATAACAGCTCTTTTCAGTGAGTACAGCCCTATTCCTCTGCAAATTATCCCTGAGTGATTATACTTCTGCTTATTTTGCAATGATTGTGTTAATGATTTTTGCAAATGAATTTTAAACCAAGAGATGTCTAGCCTGATTATTTGGCTGCTTTCACCACTGTCATCACATCCAATAGCTGTTATTTAGAAAACACTCTTTGCACTTGTGTTTACTCACACAGATTATATGGTGGGGTTGGGCTCTTTTGCTGGATATTTCCCAAGCCACCAAAAGCTTTGGAGGTGGCAGCCCAAGTGCTTTGAATGCAAATACTGAAGCCAGTGAGTATTTGCCTGAGTATCTGCCAAGCTCTCATTTTCTGGAAACACACTGGTGAATCAAAATTTAGTCTCATGAACATTTATGGAAAACAACCAAGAGAGCAGCTCCAAATCCCATCCTTTCAAATGAATTCTGCTTCTCTTCTAAGGCATGTTCCCAAATTCATTTGGGCTTACCACTTTATGCCTAGTTCTTGCCAAGTATGAAATATCCATGTACTATCTTCTTTTCTTGCTCCTACTTCCCTTTTTTTCTGGAAAAGCAGGGGTTGCTCAGACTGGTGCTGAGAGAACATTATTTCTCTCCAGCACCTTTTATACTCACAGCCTGCTTCTGCCTATAACTCACACAACAAATATGATACAGAAAACACTTGTGGCTTTCAAATTCAGTTTTTACCCCTTCAGTGGAAAAGGTAACTTTCTGGCCTGTTTTCTTTCCAGACTAGGAGTGCATGAGGTGGGGAGGTGGTTTGCTGTTCTTCCTGTGAAGGGAGTCTGCCTGTGGTGGAAACTGCTGTTTCCAGTGGACCCACTGCAGTTCTCAGGTGTTCCTCAGCCAGGATTCTGTGGAGAGCTGTAAAAACATATATAATAGGCTGGTTCCCTCAGGCCTGAGGTCTTCACCTGCTCTGCAAGCAAATTGCTGCTGTCTCTCTCTATCTTTTTATTTTAGGAGATGTCACAACAGCAGTTGGTCTTGAGGAGAGATTGAAGTCCGAGAGAGAACAGTGATGGATGGACTAATGCCAGACTAAGGAAAGGGTGAGCTATGATATCTTGATAGCTGAGCCTTCACTCTTTCTGACAAAAGGGGGCCAGGAGCTTTGCTGCTGGCTCCCCTCTGAAACTACCTGCAGGTACCTGCTTTAATTTGGTTGGTTTGGCTGAAGCAAATCTCAATCTCCCAGTAATACAGCATTGCATTCAAAAAGTCCCCACCCTGATTGAGATCTGTGGCAACTGCAAAGCGAGCTGGGCAGACAAGGGAGAGCTGAGCCTCCTCCATGGTCTAGCACATCCAGGGCTGTGCCTGCACACTTCCCAGGAGGCAGGGAAACATACCTCTGCCAGCTCTGCTTTCACCAAGAGTTGCTTATAGAATCATAGAATGGTTTGGGCTGGAAAGGACCTTAAAAGTCTTCTAGTTCCAACCCTGCCACCACAGAAAAAGCTCTCTAAGAAAATGTGAACCTTAGTTCACCAGGAAGGGATTTGATCTTGTCCCCGGGGGACTGAGATGGCAGCAATTCCAGCAGTGTTCCCTGGCATGGTGGGCAATAATGATTTCCCTGTTCTGCTCTACATGCTCCCTGTGCTTGCAGGTCTGGCCAGTGCAAGCTGTGCTCAACTGCAGAAATACAGAATGGGTTTGCTAGGGAGCAAAGGCAGCACATGTTCACTGGCTGATCTTTTATCCCAGCTAAGAGCCTAAATGAAAGATTTCTGAGACAGATGTAGTTTACTTCTCTTTTTACTCCATAGGCTGCTAAATAAGAGGTACTCAAGCTCCCAGAGTAGTGTGGGGACACAGACTCCCTGAAAAGGAGAGGGATGAGAGTGCTCTGTCAGACCCATAGCTTTCTTCCAGAAGGGATTCCCATTCACTGCATTTGCTTCAGGTCAGAGAGGATGCCTTTTTGTCAGGATGCCTCCAGAGTGTGTGCTGGAGAGCCACTCAGCTCTCAAAGCCTGGGTTTACTCAGTAAAAATAATTTTCTTTCTCCAATTTCCCTCTTGCCAGCCTTCCTAGCACCACTGTCTTTCTCCTTTAAGGGCCAAAAAAGCCTGATGGGGATCTTACTGCCTCCTCCATGCTCCTCTAGTGACCATTTAGTCTGAAATGTGATCTTTAAACATAGTCTATTGGCAGGATGATAGCACAGATGTAGGTGGAAGCACAAGCAGCAACCTCAACAAAGCTCTAAGGCAGCAGGTTTTCCCTGCCATCCCTATGGGGCAAGGGCTTTGGCCCATGGGCTGTGTCAGGTTTAGATGGGATGGGTTAGTGCCTGATCCAAGGGGCCGGGGGGGACCTCTAAAGGAGAGTTTTGATAGCAAGGAATAAAATCCGTGGTATTAGCTTGGTAACCTCAGCCCACCTGAGCCTCCATGGAGCAATGTCACAAATGGGGTGAAGCCAGCCTTTGTTTGCATGTGGGAGCATGAGGGGAGTGAGGTCACTGTGTTGTCTCCGCAGCACTGAAAGCTACTAAATGAACTTTTGTAATTCTGAGCATCCCCACCTCTGTTTTAACACAAAGAGAGGAGCTGGTGAAGTGCTAAGGTGTCATCTCTGGGGAGAATTATATTTTAGCTCACTTGGGCTCCTTCCCCTGCCTCTCTGTCCATGCTGCCTCTAAGAAGGTGATGCTCGTAGCATCAGTAGCTCCCCCATGCTGCTTTTGAGAGTGACTTCTCTCTACTCCCAGTGGATGGAAATTATCTTGGGCCCCAGAAAGGAAAAGAAAAGAAAGGTTCCACACAAGCTGTTTTAGAGCCAATGACAAGATTTACACACTCAGCAACTGGTTATTCACACGTGGCTCCTTTCCTTGGCTGATGGTTGGTACTGCCACTTCAAATGAGAAACATCCATTTCCCTGTAGCTGGCCCCTCCATCCCAAAAGCCTGACCCATAGCCAGTAATACACTTGACCCTTGCAGGAACTGATAAATCCTTGCAGGAACTGCCGCAGCAACATGGGTTCAACCAACCCCTTGCAACCCGCTTGCTGGATGGCTCCCCTCTTTCTTTGCCATCAGGCCCTTTTGCTTTGTCCTCCCTCCTGCCCATGACCTTGGAGCCTCTTCTCTGCCAGTGGCTGTGATTTTCCAGTGGCTGTGGGACCCCCCCGCCCCACAGCCGCGACATGCAGGGTGTTGATTTGACTGGACGTGAGCGCAAAGCTCATTAAGGACTCGTCGATAGTGCAATGAGAAGCAGTGTGGGGTGAGGCAGAGGGACAAGGGCCCTGTGGCAGGAGGGGCTCACAGCTCCCCTCTGCGTGTGGGAGCAGGTCTGTTTGTGCATCCCTGGGCTGGTGTCTCTGTGAGCAGCTCCGCGTGCCCCAGGGACGCGCCACCGGCTGGCACCGTGAGGCAGGTGAGTCCACTGGGACAGCAGTGGCTGGTCTTGGGGTGTGAGCACTGGGGGCAGAGAAGAGAGTGTCAAAGCAGTGGTGGGAAGAGCCACCTACCTGCACTAGCATCCCTGGGGAAGTGTGGTGCAGGTGCTGGGCTCTCCTCCATCCATACTGGGTGGGATGTGGGGCTGAGTGGCGCAGCACCCTGAGGACAAGGCAGGATGCAGGATTGTTGCTGTCTTCCAAAAAGTGATGGAGGGCTGAGCAAATGAGGACAGCCCTGCCTGGCACTCAATTGGAGCAGTGTGAAGCAGAGCAGCTTTACCTACAGCTGCACCACCACAAGGCCTAAATTTCTTCTGTCAGTTACCATTGCAATGCCCCCTTGGTCAAGAAAGACACCCCAGTTGCTGCTGGGGAGGCAGCAACTTTCCCGTCTGTCACTCCCATGCAGAGTTAATTGGGTTCCCGTTAACAGGCAGGTGCAGCAACCAACCTCCAAAACCTGTTCACTGAGCAAAATCCTGGGCTGAAGAAGTTGTTTCTGCTGCAGTACAGAGGTGGGGCATGAACCATCTCTCCCCCATGCTGCAGTGGGGGTGGCTGGGAAGGATCTGCAGGTGCTGCTCCCTGCCCTGCTGCATGAGCAACTCCCTGCTTCCATCCAGGGAGCTGGAACTACCAGGCAGAGCAAGAGGGGAGATAACTGTCCCACACCATGACCTGAAAATGGTACTGGGGTCCCTAAGATTAGAAAGTTTCTCACAGTGCCTGTGGGCTGGAAAAATTGTAGTGAGTGCAAATGATTGCTTGTAAAGATGCTGTATCAACACTTATGTGAAAACCTTGGGCAAGCTTCTCTGGGGAGGGTCTCCAGTGGGTAGAACTCCAGGAATGGGTTAGGTGATACACACATAAGAGACATGGGTTCAGCTGCCCCTCCCTGGGGCTGGGATAGCCCTTCCCAGCCTTATAGGTTTCAGCCCCAAGGATCAACATGACACACAGTGTTCTAGCTTCTTTGTGGCCCTTCTCAAAGGTCCTGCAAGCTCTGATGGTCTGTGGCAGTGGAGCTCAGCTTCCTTACCTGTATAGCTGCTGGGATGTTTCTGGGATCTGTGTCTGTGCCCTTCCTTCCTATCCATCTGCAAGAGACTCTGACTCTGGAGGAGGTAGCTCACTCCTTCAGTGAGGCCCTCCCCATCTCTCCTCTGTCTCCACAGCACTGGAGACCTGGACAAACTCACCCATCCCTTCCTCCCTCTCCTCACACCCTCTCCCTGCTCCCTATCTCTCATGAGTGCTTCTTGGAGCTGCAGTCTGGATACCAAAGGCTTGCTGGTGACCTTGCTGTGATTCTGCCAGCACCTGGTAGAGACATCCAGCACATTTAATTTTGCTTCTGTCTTCTCCAAGAGAAGCTCTGCAACAGTTTGGGATTTTATTGTGTGGAGAACAAAAATCAGGGTGAAGACATGCGGTTGGAAATCCATTTTCTTATGAAGAAACAGGCACAAGGAACAAGCAACTCATGTCCTTATACTGCAGGTGAACACCCCATGACACTGAGTCCTGTTTGCTGGGCATAGAGCAAGTGGGTGCTGTGTCTGGCTCCTGTGGAGATGCTCATGTGGTAAAGGCTGTTCCTGGTGCTGGAGGGCCAGGGTCTGCATCATGGTATGGACTGGCTGTGTGGGATGTGACTTGAGTCTTCAGCCAAGGCAACAGGGACAACAACCTTTCCTTCCTCTGCTTTATCTCCTGAGCACAAGTCCTGGTGGAAGAGCTGCTCCTTCTCCACTGCTCTGTGGAGCTTAGCACAAGAAGTGAAGATAGGAGAAGATCTGAATGTTAAATTGGTAGAGAGAATGCCCAGCTAGTTGCAGGTTGATCCTGGACAGCAGGGGATGGTGCTCTGGGTAATGAGCATGCTTTCCAGGCTGTTTTGAGGAAAACCTCAGCCAAGGGGCTGGAGGCTACCAATGCTCTTGCAAGGTTCCTGCTGAGGCAGCTGGCTCTGCTGTTCTTTATTTTCCACCCTCAAAAAAAGCATGTGATCAAAGGGAGCCTTGTGGCAGCCTGAGGGCTCTGGAGCATGATTATCTCTCTGGTTTCATGAGAAGAACAAAGAGTTTGGCATCTGAGAATGAACATAGATTTTCTCTTCAGCTTGGCCATGCTGCAGCAGGAAAACAATGTTGTGGTCTCCATGGTGAGGCTCTAGTCTTTTTGGAGCTCTATACTTGTGCCAGAGTCGTGACAGGCACATTCACAGGTGCCATGTTCTGATGAGGTGCTTGGTAGCTGCTGTGACCCTGCCCAGAAGGAGCAGGGGGAAGGTCTGTGATTTTTTCATTCTTTTCCTTTCCTTCCTCTTTGTCTTTCATCTGAATGCAGTTGCAGAAATTTGTTAGGGCAGTGAAGGATTTTCACCTGCTCATCTTATTCCACGGGCAGCAGGTGCTGGTCAGTGTGGAGCAGGCTGAACTTGTCTGTGCCCTGTGGATGGGTCATTTCCCAATCTGAGCTTCCCAGCCCCAGGGACAACCAGTCCTTTGCTCTTCTGCCACACAGGTTGAGAAGAGATTGCTCCCTGGCAGTTCAGAGCAGACCCTGGATCATTCTCATGCTTGTTTCTGCTCTTTCCTGCACAATTATTTTCCTTATTCAATTTTATTT